TATTTATTTATTTATTTATTTTAAATTTTTAAAATTAGATGATGGTAACTGGTACCGTGCTTTGGTGAAAAACATTACTTCAGATGAAACTGTTAAAGTATGCTTTGTGGACTACGGAAATGTTGAGGAAGTACCACTGGATAAAATACGGCATATCTCATCCTCATTCCTAAAACTTCCATTTCAAGGAATTAAATGCTGGCTCTCAGGTGGATCTTCTTATTGATTCTTTCTCTTGTAAGAGCTATTGCATTTAGAGAGTTGCTGCTTTGGGTGAATGAGGTGATGACAGGGTATAATGCACAGAACTCTGGGGTTTTGGGTTTTTTTTGGGGGGGGGGGGGGGGTTTTTGTTTTGTTTTTATAATAAATGTCTGTGTTGTTTTCAGCCTCTGGAAATTGTGGGAGCCATTGTTTTACCCTTACTACACAGTAGACTGGCATTTAACAGAAAGATGGTGGCTCTTCCCTGAGCTCCTGACAGTGCTGTGGAGTGATCTGCATGGAGGTTTACTTACTGATGTAGCAGTCAAAGGGAACTTGTTTAGTTCTGTTTCATCTGTAGCTCTTACTAGCTTTTGCTTGCTGCCTTGCTAGGAGTAAATGTGCTTTTGGGCAACTTAATTATTTCTCAGAATTTTTGCAGGCAAAGGAGCTCATCTGTTTTTATGAAGCAAGCTGGCCTTTCAGTTCTCTGTAGGGGTGTTTCATTTGATTCCTGCAGAGTTTGGCACTGTACTGCTGTTTCTCAGTCTTCTACCAATTCTCTGCCTCTTCCTTTTCCACACCAAATCACTCAAAATTCTGCAGAATTATTCTTCCTCTCTAATCTAGTCTACTTGGTTTAAAAATAAAAAATGTGGAAACAGGAAAAAGCTCAAAAACATATTTCTTCAAGGTGTCTTCTGCTGGGGTTTTGTGTGTCTTAAAACACTTTGTTTTTGTGCTTCTTTGATAAAAAGGCTATATTTGACTGATCATAAACAGTCTTAACTGTGTTGTTTGTACTAAGGCACAAGGATTTACTTGGTAGAATATCGTAAAACGTAGAAAACAAAACTTGGGAGTTCTGAGGAAATGTGTTCTTTTAGAAGAAAGGAGGAAGAGGGAGACCAGTTAACAGGATGAAGTACAATGTGTATCCCTAAGGCAATAAAAGTAGCCATGGTATTTTGAGTTGTGCTTTAAAAAAAAAAAAGGAATTTTTTTTTAAGGAGAATACAATGTTGACAAAAGTTACTTAATGGAGATATTTTGAACAGTTCTCCTATTTCCTAGGTATAAAGCCTGGTAATAGCAAATGGATTCCAGAAGCTACAGCAAGATTTCATATGTACACTGCAGGGATAAAGCTTCAAGCCAGAGTAACTTCCCTTTCCAAAGATGGGGCAGGTGTAGAGCTTATTGACAATTCTTCAGGTCATCCAAAAGTGATCAATGAGATACTAACTTCTGAAAAATTGGCTGTAAAGGAAGTTCTACAAGATAAAAATAACTTTCCAAACAAGTCTGTTGACAAAAAAGGTAATTAAGTGAATGTTAACTTTTAGATTGAACAAGAATTTTCAGTATTCCAGTCTTTAACGGTGATCTTGGGGTTTAACTATGGTTAATATCAGTAATAAACATGCATAGTTTTGATTATATTGTCAGTTTTTACAGTTAAAACACAAGCTGCCCTGCAGGTGGCATTATAGACAAAAAGATAAAAATTGCTGGGTTTGTCTTAAATTAATGCTATTTGAATATTTGATAGTAGAGTGTTACAAATTTGCTATGACTGAAACTTTCCCCGTGTTTACTTTCCAATATGTTATTTTTCTGAGGTGTTTTTTTACTTTAGATACTTTTATATTGTAATACTTTTATGAACAGCAAATCAAGAATTGTCTTGCTTTAGATTTCTGTTCTTGAAGGGGAAATGTGCAGTTGTCTCTAAAATTCAAAATGATACTCTGTAACAGTTACTTATAATATGTATGTGCTCAGAGGAAAGTGGTACGCTGCATTTTCTTACTATTTCTATTAGAAACCTCACTTGGCAACTGGAAGGTGATTGAATTGGCTATAGATGAAACCGTAGCTGTCTGTGTAACAGAGGTTGTAAGCCCAGACTTGTTCTATGCTGTACCAATTCAAACTAAAGGTAAGAAAAAGTATTCACTGTTCCTAATACCAGTAAGAAGTCACTGTTGCAAGCTAGTTAATAAAATGAATGCCTATAGTGAACTGAACCACATGGAAATGTAGCTCGGACAGTAGAAAAAATATAAAAAATGTCAAGGGTGGGAGCAGGGGAGCTTAAAAATAAGTATGCTCTTCATTATATCCAAATGTGGTTAGTTATCAAATGTTGTTTTCTGTAGATCAAGAGAAGCTACATAGGCAGTTGATGGAACTAGAAGGCTATTGTAAATCTTGTAAGAACCAGCCCTTCAAACCAAAACTGGGTGAAGCCTGTTGTGCCAGGTTTTCAGGTGAGGCAATCATTCATTCATTTTCTTGACCAGTGTAAACCACAACTTTCATTTTTGCTTTAGAAAAAGGAAAACCGCCAACTTTAAAGTGCTTACAGATCTCTTAATTCTGTTACAAAGGATAGCCTGGCTGCATCTTTAGGGCAAAGAAACCGTGTGACAGCCCAGGAGAGAAAATAAGGAATAGGCTGTGCCCGGAAAAATATATGGAGCTTTAAGAGGAAAGAACAGCTAGTTACTGTTTAAACTGAAATTCGTCTGTGCTGCCCTGAGTCACAGGGGCATGAAATTCATGGCAGAGCAATAGTGCGCTTGCATCTATAGAGACCTACTTCTGGTTTGGGGGTGCCTGGGTGTTGTTTTTGTTGTTGCTTTGTGCAAGCGTGCAGTGGTGACACTGGCTATGACTGATCGTTCAGCCTTGTTAGCCTAACAAGCTGTCCATGCTCAGTGAACTGTTAGTTCAAGTCAAAAGTATTCTTGACAGTGAGGGAACTTCATTGTCTTAATCTTTTAGAAGAGGTGATACTCCGTTGATATATTTGCTCGATATGAAAAAAAATAAAGTACTGTTGACGCATAAATATTAAATGTTGACTGCATGTGGATTGCTACAGGAGAGCTGGCGAAGTGCTGAAAATGAATTTGAGTGTTAGATCAGACAACAGCTCATGGAAAACAGGATAGGTGAATTAAAAAATATACTAGGCAGACCACAAGAGTATACCTAAATGTTTGACGGTTGTTTTTAACTTCCAGTGATGGTTTTTTAAATTTTTTTTTTATGGCTCTTTAGGATAATTGAGGAAAAAGGATTTTTTTTTTTTTCTTTTTAATTTTGGTTAAGTTTTGAGAGGGAATAGGTGTTGGAAAACAAAGGTAAGGAGCTAGAAATACAGTGTGCAGACATCCTTAAAACAGTATTGTAGTAAAAATCTTATCTGTGTAATTGGAGCAAAATGCTGAAAGCGACACTTAAATCTTCATGAAGACAGCAGTCAGAACCTACTCCCTTGTTCTGTGGGCTTGCTTCTTGTCAAGTGGCCTTTTTTATATACCAGCATATTTTAAAATTCCTGGAAAACCATGCAGATTCTTGTTCTTGGGATAAGCTGTGTTTATAAGATGGTACTTCACAGGTGATTCTTCTTGTCCCAATCTTTTCAGGTGATGGTCGTTGGTACAGAGCTGTTGTTCTAAAAGCTTCTCAGTCTGCAGTGAAAGTACTATATGCAGACTATGGGAACACAGAAACTTTACCACTTTCAAACGTGCTGCCAATCACTGATTCCTACTTAAAGCTGCCTTTTCAGACAATTACATGTTCACTTGCAGGTAAAAAAAACCCAAAAAACTAAAAACAACCAAAAAAACCACCCCTGCAAACCCCTGACTGGTTGTTATCTTGAACATTACAAATCTGTATCTATCCTGATGATAGTGCTCATTCCTTAATACTGACAAACAACATGACGATCTGCTGAAATATTATAATGGTTAACACTGTGGAAACTGTTTGAGAAAGTATGTTTTTAGTTAATTATCTGTAGAGTCTAAGCTATTTATATTAGGAAAATTTAGCATCATATTTTCAAAAACAGTGATAACATTATTTGTAAGACTCAAGTCATATCATAAAGGAATTCTTTATAGAACAAACTTGATTGTACTATTTTTTTGGCAGGAATAGAGAAAGCTGAGTGGTCTCCATTATTACTTGACAAGTTGAAAGAAATGTTATTGAATAAATACGTCACAATTACAGTGAAAGGGATTAATGGAAACGTTAATGTAGTAACGGTGGAGAAACTTTCTGAAAATGGTAGTCTGAATGTAGCTGACAAACTGGTAATGGAAGGTTTGGTCAAATCCTGCAGGGCTGAAAACTTACATACTGAACATCAAGGTACTTACTTTCACTTAATTGCTTCTTAATTTAAACTTAATTTGAAGAACTGTGGGCACATGGGATGTCTAAGTGACTTTTCCTTCCAAAAATCTTAGCGAATTCCACACGTCACCTCTTAAATTAGGGAAGCAGTGCCCATGTGTATTTTGCTCATTCACTTGCTTTGTTTTTTCTGTAGGCAATGGAGGTGAGACCAAATGCTGCTGCACAGAATTAAAAATGCAAGTAAGATTCAGTCCAAGCTAAACTCACTTTTTTACATTTCCAGAATTTAAAATAAACCCTATGCGGGAAGCAAATGAGAGTAGGGAGATAATAGCGAACCGAAACATCAAAGATACGCAAAGTGAATATCCTGACACTTCTTCTCAGTTTGTTTTATACATGGTAATAATTAGAGCACCCTGAAACTGAGGGAGGATAGTGTACAGATCACACAGACTTCGTTAGTCTATGTTTTCCCACACATACATCTAGTTCTTTTTTTTTTTTTTTTCCCTCTAGAGTATGAAGGCTCAGGGGTGTTACTTTGTTGTGTAAAGGTAGTTGTGATGTTTTGCATAAACTGTGTCATTTGGAGAAAGGGAAGCTGGATTTTTTTCAGTAATATGGCTGTGTTTTGCTGTGGATACCATTTGGCAGACAGCTGCCCATGTAAGAAAATTCTTAGAATGTGTATTTCAGGTAGCAGAGATTAATAGTAATATGTGCCACAGTTTTAGTCATGAAACTAGGGCTGAGAATCTGAGTTCAGCAGAATATTCAGTATTCAGCAGAATACTGGAATTTGTAACAGTGTTTGCCAGTTGCAAGATTTTTTTTTTCTTTTGAAAAAAAAATGAAGTGTCTCTTACAGATACTGCATATTCCTGTAACTTTTGAAAGCTTTCTGGTTTTAAGCATTCCAATTTTTTATTTTAACTTAGGCTATGTATGAAAAATTAGAACTTTAGATTACTAAAAGTAACTTAAAGTATACCAGAAAAGATACATGGGCCTTTCTCAAAGTGAGGATGCCTGTTGGAGGAATGAGCAAAATTTTGAATTTTAAAGACAGAAACCGCTTTCAAGGGTGGTTTGAACTTCCTCCCTCTCCCCCCAGCCAGAGGCAGCAAGGTCAAAAGCAAAAATATGCACGATGATATTTTGGAGGTAGGAAAAGAGCATTTCTGTTCAAGGTCACTTAGACTTTTACTGCTTGAGAGTAAGCATGGTTACCAGCAGTTTAGTGGCAGAAAGGCAGTAAAACGGCTGTTCCTGAATGTAGTTGGCTTCTCTGTCCCACTGCAGGCTGTTGAACCTCCGTTTCCCTTCCCCCTCTGTGCCTCTCTGATCTTCCAGCTTGATCTAGCTAATGTCTCTTCTGACTTCAGTTTGGTCACTTTCTGTTTTCTGTCATCCTTCCTTACTTGGGTAAGTTTGTCTCAAAGTCTCATGACAGATGAAGACAAGACAGAAGATTCCAATATAACTGAAAACATCAGGAAACAGGCGTGTGAATAACCAAATTTAAGATCCTGATCCCAGTCCTAATTTGAGTATTTAATCAATTTGGTTCAAGGAAGTTTCTTTAGGGGAAGTGGGGGTGGAAAGGAGGGGGGCTGAGGGAAGGCAGCCACAATTCTACAGGCTTTCCCTGCCCCCTTCCAGAAGCTTTTACAGCAGAAAGGAACTATATATTCATTGAACTAATATGGGACTTCACTGAGTTTGTAGTTTTAGGATCTACCCTAATCTGAAATCAGCAATTTAAAAAAAAAAAATCATATATTTCTAATTCTTTCTGCTTATTCCACAGCTTAAAAAGCATGAACAGATCCTACTGTTCCTTTTAAACAAGTATGAAAATCCAGATGGATTCACTGAAATGAAAAAACTGTTGGACCACTGAGTCTCTGACACGTGCTGTTTCATTTGTATGTATACCAGGTTGCTGCAGTTCCTTTTTTGGAAGAGCAAGTGTATTCATCAGCTTAAAAATGAGAATTGCTTAGTAGAAAGTCTGCTGTTTAAGTACCTGTATTTATCTGTATGCTTGGATTGTTACTGTGAAATAAGTATGTAACTTGAAGGATTTCAAAGCTGCAAGCTAAATTTTCTGTTCTGTTTTTGTTTCATACCACCGTGTGCTGCTAAGCATTTTTGCTTTTATTTTTGCTGTTGAATGCACATAACTTTATGGAATGGCCATTGCATTGTGACTCTATTCTGCAAACTTAAATTTGAAATTATTGTAATCGTAAAGCTGACTTCAACTTTGGTACCATTAATTTTACTTGAAAAACTGTATCTTATCTTGATTAGTCTTCTTTCAGCTTAATTTCCGGTCTGAAGTTAGACTGAAAATTGTTCTTCATAAACTTGGTTTCAGTATCATTAAAGGCTGAATCTTGTCTTGGACTGCATATAGGTAGTTCTCTCTAAAATCAGTAAACACTTAGATGCGCACAGTTCTTTATTTACACTTAAGCTGTGTAATATGCATCTGTCAATATTGTTTTGAAGTAAATTGTATTAGAGATGTTTTGTCTATAGCTATGTTGTCAGGATTTCTACCCCATCAAGTTTTTTCACATCATAATAGAAAAGTCCCATTCTGAGATATGATAAAAATACTGAACCAAACTATTAACAAATTTTCAGTATTTCTCTAAAATGTAGGTGGTACCTAGTTGTCATTTCTGACTAATCCAGTGGCGATGTTACTAACGAATGCTAAATTATTGTTCATGGAGCACAGTAGACATTTGCTTATTGAAACTACAGGGTCAGCTTTTTTTGTCCACTTGAGGTATATATTTTAAGTTTGGGCTTTGTGCAAATGGGAAGGAAGGATCTTGAGATGAAACTTGTTGTGCAAGTGAAATATTTTTGTTTGACTTAATGTTTTATTACACTTAAAGTGCCTCAGATTGTTATTCCTGCCTCTTAGGTTTTGTTGCATCATATTCTTGCAATATCTAATAATTAGACAAACTCTTGCACTTGAGTTTCCAGAGTTCTTTTTGTGCTCCCATTTCTGAACCAAGACTGTGGCCGTCTCAAGTGTGCTCTGACTTCTGGGATAAGCGTGACTTTCACAAGCATTTGCCCACATGCAAAGCAACTCAACTGATGCTTTTGTTCACTTTTCCACACACCACCTCTCCTAACAACTAGTCATTGCATTTCAGAAGATGACTTTGACTGCAGTAGTCAAAAGTAGTCTCTTTGTCTATACTTCCTAAGCAGAAGAAAGGCAAAGTGAATCTTTGCTTGTTCTACGCAGGCAAAAACCCCTGGAAAGCAGTGGTTGGTGGTTCACTTGGAGATGTATGTATGGTGCAGCACAAAAGTATCTGGCAGTAATCCTTCTAGACAGTGGAAGGAAAGGAGAAGTAAGAGACTTCATATGGGTCAGAGACTTAGTTCACTCCTTAACTTCAGGTGAAGTCTTTGGAAACATTGATGCAGGGATAAATGAAGCAAGAAATGTGGAAACCTCTTGGACTTCTTGACGTAGCCTTGGGTTCCTCGTGCTTTGTTTTTTCTCTGCTACTTTTAATCTGTAATTGAAATCTGTTCTTGAAGTGATGAACTATCAGCTATGGATTACAGTTACCTAAATGCTAGTATAGAATCTAACTTTCAAAGTAAATTTTCATGTGTGATTATGTTGAACAAAGGTTATTATATAATAACACATTTAAACTATAACATCCATGCTTTTGGTAAATAAAATTTATTAATTCCTCTCCACCCACTCTGGAGAAGAAAAACAAAAATGAACTGGAACTCTAGAATAACATAGCACTTCTGAAAGGGAAGTAGTATAAATTTAATAAAAATTATATAGCACTGAAAAACAACAGGTTTTTTTAATCCTTAAAATATCATTTTCATTTATGAATTACTGTTGGAGAAAGAGTTTACTTTGTTCATTGGCTTTGATGGAAATTATTTATTTATTATTATAATATTATTTATTTACACTTGGTGTTGCATTCCATTCCTAACCGTACATACTGTGAGGTAGACACAAGGGAGTGTTTTGCCTGTGCAGATTACAAAATTACCGACCTGTGTTTAGTTTTGTGTGGGAAGAGATGTGCAAGGTAGCACAGTCTTTCGTGATTACTAGTACTTGCACATGTTAATGCTGGTTAAGCCTGTTGGGTTAAGGCGATGCAATGCTTTTGAAAGGCAGTGTTGTCTTGAGGCTTGGACTCTTGAGGTCTTGCTGTCTACTTTCAAACTCTTAACTACAAGTGGGTCTGACACCTTCTCCCCTCCTAAATATATGTTACATGTTTACTCTTTCTGAAGGTGCTTTCTTATTTACAAGGGCGTTGCATCGCAGTGGTCGGCTGCCCCTTCTGCCTGCAGTACGGCCGACCCTTGGGACGGGTCAGGGGGAACTTCCGTGTGGGATTTGGCACCCACCTGGCTATGCCAGACCCTGTTTGGCAGCTCCAGCCAGGTTACTGTAACCTTCTGAGAACTGCATTACCCTCTAAAAGGAAATTCAAGATAACAGCTAGGGATTGATTTGGATTAGTTAGTACCCTAATCTCAAATTTACGTGGTAGGGAAGGGCTGAAAGTACAGTAACAGTGATCCTCTCAATGTTTTAGAATTACAGGTTTTTAACAGCTATGTTGTTGTAACCCTATCGTGTAAGACAGAAATGTTCTCTCCAAAGCTGGGCCATCCTGTAGTGCCAGTGTATCTAAAATTAATTGCTCTGGTGCTGCTTTCTTCCTTGGCTTTTATTGTGGGAGATGCTTTTCGGTGGTGGGCGTGTGGTGGGCTAGAATCTAGCCCGATTACCTCTCCTTTCACTCCGAGTCAGACCTTTGCAGGAAGGGGAACAGCTGAACGCTGAGCAAGGTCCAGGTGCTGCATGCACCTCAGCACAAGAAGGACATGGACCTGTTGGAGCGGGTCCAGAGGAGGCCACAAAAATGATCCGAGGGCTGGAGCACCTCTGCTACGAGGGCAGGCTGAGAGAGTTGGGGTTGTTCAGCCTGGAGAAGAGAAGGCTGCGGGGGGACCTTATTGCGGCCTTTCAGTGCTTAAAGGGGGCCTACAGGAAAGATGGGGGCAATCTTTTTAGCAAGGCCTGTTGTGACAGGACAAGGAATAATGGATTTAAACGAAGAAGAATAGATTTAGACCAGACATAAGGAAGAAATTTTTTACAATGAGGGTGGTGAAGCACTGGCACAGGTTGCCCAGAGAGGCGGTGGAGGCCCCATCCCTGGAAACATCCCAGGCCAGGTTGGACGGGGCTCTGAGCACCCTGGGCTGGTTAAAGCTGTCCCTGCTCACTGCAGGGGTTGGGCTGGATGGGCTCTAAAGGGCCCTTCCAACCCAAAGCATTCTGTGATTCTATTCCTGTGGTGCAG